GGCTGGACCTTCATGCTAAACCCTCCCCATAAACGCTGTCGTTGTCAGGCTTTTCACCTCTCAACATTTATCGCTGGACAGCCTCCATTGGGCCCGGCTTTTTGGCGGCGGGGTCCGTTGGAGTGTGACCGTTGGGTCAAGTTGGGTCTAGGGTTTATGGATGTTTATGGAGTACTAGCTTGAAAAGGTCACCCTTGCGGACGGCACTAGCAAAAACGGGGTGCGAAAAGCTTACCTGAAGGCTTTTCCGTAGTTTCTTTTAAAGTGCGCAGTAAATGACCAAAAATTTTGGTCTGACCAATTTTTTTTTTGGGGGGGGACGTTAAATTCCCGATATTCGAGTATATTCATTTCAAGAGGTTCAAGTGCGCACCAATGCTCACAGAAGCCTGAAATCGTGCTGGCAACTACAACATTACTCGAGCACCCACGAGCTCCATCCTTAAAGTTCTTTGAGACCACTAACTGGTGCAGGGAGAAGACATAACATATACATATCGGGAAAACAGTTTCTTAAGCACTTATAGCTCACAGGATTGCTTTCATCAAAAAGCCACAAGAATTGAAAGAAAATCTTGCACAAGAGCCGGTTTCGGAAAGGAAGTCTTGTACACGTGCACAAGACGTGCGCATTCGGGCTTGATGAGAGGCCGTCAAAATTTATTGCGTATTCTTGCGCGTTCTTGCGTGTTTTTTGGGTTTCCGTCGTGAAAAATTGGGTTTCCAACGCGTTCTTGCGCAACTTTTTTGGGGATCCAGCTCTACTCCCGTATCATCAGAGTGTTTCGTGGTTTGGGTACACGTAAAATGAGTATATAACGGTGCATACCTGGTGAAGTTGGCCGACACACAGGTGAAGGCCCTGTCCTACAACACTGCCCAACATAGGTTATGTAAGTTATGTGGTTATGTGCGTAAAGTGCTGGCAAGTCAACATTTTCATAGTGTCATTTACGACTCCAGGTATAAAATTCCTTAGTGCATCAGGTTGGCTGCCTGTATGTATGTAACTTATGCCCAATCAAGACATTTACAATCCATCCATCAGGGCCCAATATGCAGAGTTCCGTCAGTCAACAGCTGCAGACGGTAGTTTACCCCAGAAAGCCTGAAAAATCGAGTGCTGCAGGGAAAACGCCCACAAAACCCACAAGAATCAGAAAACGAGGGTCACAAGAAACAAGAATGCGCAAGAAACCAACGCGATACCAAAAAACACACTGCGGTCAAAAAAAAGGTCCGACCAAAAATTAACGATCAGCAGCCAAAAAGAACCACATAGGAGCCTTCAGGTGGACATTTCGTAGTTCGGCCGTTAAACATCCCTAAACTCCTCTCAGCTGACGGAAACTCCGCTGGACCAAGCCCAAGC